TCTCACATCACGAAAGATAGCCTAGGCTACCTGAGTTCTATGTACTTTAGTACTAGTTTAGTACTGGGGGAGGTGGCTGGCCCTTTCCCGGAAATTGAAACCCGAGAGTCACGAACGGAGACTTAGGGGGGGGGCCCCCCCCCCATTCGATTCTCCCCTGGTCCGCATCTCTTTCTTTCTTTTTCTCTGACTATGTACTTACCTCCTTATCCATCTATCTATCCATGTATCTATCTATTTAGTTGTCTATCTATGTATCTATTTATCTATCTATCCTTCTATGTATCTATCTATCTACCTATCTACCTATCGATCTATCTATCTATCTATCTATCTATCTATCTATCTATCTATCTATCTTTTTATCGATCTATTTAGCTATCGATCTATCTATTTATCGATCGATGCTTCTATCTGTCTATCTATCTATCCATCTATTTGTTTATTTATCTATCTATCTATCTATCTATCTATCTATCTATCTATCTATCTCTATCTCTCTATCTATCTATCTATCTATCTATCTATATATATATATCTATTATCTATCTATCTATCTATCTATCTATCTATCTATCTATCTATCTATCTATCTATCTATCTCTCTATCTATCCTATCATACATACATACATACATACATACATACATACATACATACATACATACATACATACATACATACATACATACATACATACATACATACATACATACATACATACATACATACATACATACATACATACATACATACATACATACTACATACATACATACATACATACATACATACATACATACATACATACATACATACATACATACATACATCATACATACATACATACATACATACATACATACATACATACATACATACATACATACATACATACATACATACATACATACATACATACATACATACAGACATACATGATGTAACATAACATAACATTACACGACTTAATGTGACATAACATTACATCACATTACATAACATTACATTCATACATACATACATACAGACAGACAGACAGACATATTTACAAACATACATGGATACAAAGGAGTGATCTGGTTAGTGGCCATAGTCAACTGGCCCCATGGTCTGCAACATACACCTAGAATACTTTCTCGGGCATTGTAGAAGGAACAAAAAATTACGACCGAGTTTTTCTACTCCGCTCACAAACTCGGTCGTAATTCTGTGGGGCATTTGTTGGCTCTGAATTCGTCACAGCCAAGCAAGAAAGCAACACTGGACACGTCATACCACTTATAATGTTTCATAGCTCTGGTTTACTAAGTCATCCAAATGGACTGTCGTCTATGTATCTATCGCTCAAAACTCTCTCTATCTATCTATTTATCTATCTATTTATCTATCTATCTGTCTGTCTATCTATCTATCTATTTATCTATCTATCTATCTATCTCTCTCTCTCTCTCTTTCATCTATCTATCTGTCTACCTGGCTATCTGTCTGTCTATCTATCTATCTGTCTGTCTGTCTATCTGTCTATCTGTCTATCTGTCTATCTGTCTACCTGTCTACCTGTCTATTTGTGGTGCAGTGTCATTCAGTGCAATGTAGAGTAGTGAAATGTAGTGTGGTGTAGTGGAGTGTATCATGTCATCATGTCGCCGTCGGATATGTTTGGATCAAAGCATTTCGCCACTGGGTGTGCCACGATGAACATAAACGTTAACATCATGCTGACCCCTATTCAAATCATTCGCATGGCACCTATCTCACTAGAATTTACCAAAGAACATAAAACATCATTTTTTCGGGGTTGCGCTTCATCTCGCCTCGATGAAGCACAACCAAGTGCTTGGGAGCACAACCAAAGCCATTTATCGCACAAACATGAGCTTGGTTGCGCCCCCAAACGCTGGGTTGCGCTTCATCTCCCCTCGATGAAGCACAACCTTGGAAAATGATATTTTTTTATCTTCTTTGGTAAATTTATGTCTTCCAGACCATAGATTATTTTGCCTGTCGAAAAACTTGAAAGAAAGCGTGAAAAAACAAAAAATGTAACTCTTGTTTCATTTTTCCCTTTGAGCCTCTCCGTGTTTTTCCTTTTTTTTTCTCCTTTTATTCTGCTTTTGTGTTTTTTAGATTTTGCTGCTTTGCTTTTTCGCTTTTCCGACGTTGATACTTTTTTCGCTTTTTTCGCGTTTTTCGCGAAGTTAGAATATGCTACGGTCTGGATGACATAAATTTACCAAAGAAGATAAAAAATATCATTTTCCAAGGTTGTGCTTCATCGAGGCGAGATGAAGCGCAACCCAGCGTTTGGGGGCGCAACCAAGCTCATGTTTGTGCGATAAATGACTTTGGTTGTGCTCCCAAGCACTTGGTTGTGCTTCATCGAGGCGAGATGAAGCGCAACCCCGAAAAAATGATGTTTTCTGTTCTTTGGTAAATTCTAGTGAGATAGGTGCCATACGAATGATAGTAGTAGTAGTCGTAGTCGTAGTCGTAGTCGTCGTCGTAGTAGTAGTAGTCGTAGTAGTAGTAGTAGAAAAAGTAGTAGTAGTAGTAGCAGTAGTAGTAGTAGTACTAGTAGTAGTAGTAGTACTACGGCCAGGACGGATGTGCTGCCCGGGAAAGTGCGTTTTGACTGCGCAGGGCCAATGTTTTGTGAGATTCCCCGTGTCGTTCGTTTGGGCAAACGGATGACGATTTTTTCCCTCATTTCATCAACATCATCATCATCATCAGCATCATCAGCAACAACATCAACATCATCAACATCATCAACATCCCAATTGAATGTAAAGTTTCACGGGGGTGGGAGTTTACTATTCCCTAATACCCTTGTTGATCTTCCCAATTGAATGCAAAGTTTAACGGGGGTGGGAGTTTTATATTCCCTAATACCCTTGTTGATCTTCCCAATTCAATGTAAAGTTTAACGGGGGTGGGAGTTTAATATACCCTAATACATTTGTTGATCTTCCCAATTGAATGCAAAGTTTAATGGGGGTGGGAGTTTAATATTCCCTAATACGCTCGTTGATCTTCCCAATTCAATGTAAAGTTTAACCGGGGTGGGAGTTTAATATTCCCTAATACCCTTGTTAGTGGGAGAACCTCCACAGAGTCAATCCCTAACTTGGTTGACCCTCTGGAGGCCCCTCCACCGGGTCCACGTATTCGGAGTTCGGAACGTACTTGTGCAGAACAAAAAACGATACTTTATGTATACTTACTAGGAATCACAAGGTCAACAACTAACCAGAAACATTAGTTTCTGTGGACCCGGTTGGACTTTATGTAAACTTGCTAGAAATCACAAAGTCAACAACTAACCAAAAACAATAGTTTCTGTGGACCCGGTGGGAGAGCCTCCACAGAGTCAACCCCTCACTTGGTTGACCCTCTGGAGGCCCCTCCACCGGGCCCACCCAACCGGAGTTCGGAACGTAATTGTACAGAACAAAAAACAATATTTTATGTATACTTAGTAGAAATCACAAGGTCAACAACTAACCAAAAACATTAGTTTCTGTGGACCCGGTTGGACTTTATGTAAACTTGCTAGAAATCACAAAGTCAACAACTAACCAAAAACAATACTTTCTGTGGACCCGGTGGGAGAGCCTCCACAGAGTCAACCCCTCACTTGGTTGACCCTTTGGAGGCCCCTCCACCCGGTCCACGTATTCGGAGTTCGGAGCGTCATTGTACAGAACAAAAAACGATACTTTATGTAGACGTGGCGGAAGCGCCTCCACAGCGTCAACAACTAGCTCAGTCGACTCCCTGGAGGCCCGTCCAACGAGTCCGCGTGCTGACAACACGGTATACCTACAAGAATAACGATTCACCAACAACAAGCACACAAACATTCCAGCTGCTTGGGTGAGCTTTTCAAACACCAAAAGTTTCTTCCCAACCGATTCTTGTCCAAAATGCCTACCTTATACATCTAACGTTAGAAATCGGCAAACTCTTCAACGCAATTTCCACGAAGTCATGAATCCGCTTGTTGATCTTCCCAATTGAATGTAAAGTTTAACCGGGGTGGGAGTTTAATATTCCCTAATACCCTTGTTGATCTTCCCAATTGAATGCACAGTTTAACGGGGGTGGGAGTTTAATATTCCCTAATACCCTTGTTGATCTTCCCAATTCAATGTAAAGTCTAACGGGGGTGGGAGTTTAATATTCCCTAATACCCTTGTTGATCTTCCCAATTGAATGTAAAGTTTAACGGGCCTGGGCGTAGTAGTAGTAGTAGTAGTAGTAGTAGTAGTAGTAGTAGTACTAGCAGTCGTAGTAGTAGAAGTAATAGTAATAGTAATAGTAAAAGTAGCAGCAGCAGCAGCAGTAGTAGTAGTAGTAGCAGTAGTAGTAGTAGTAGTAGTCGTCGTCGTCTTAGTAGTAGTAGCCGTAGTAGTAGTAGTAGTCGTCGTCGTCGTCGTCGTCGGCGTCGTCGTCGTCGTCATAGTAGTAGTAGTCGTAGTAGTAGTAGTAGTAGTCGTCGTCGTAGTAGTAGTAGTAGTCCTCATAGTAGTAGTAGTAGTAGTAGTAGTCCTCATAGTAGTAGTAGTAGTAGTCCTCATAGTAGTAGTAGTAGTAGTAGTAGTGGTAGTGGTAGTGGTAGTGGTAGTAGTAGTAGTAGTAGTAGTAGTAGTGGTAGTGGTAGTGGTAGTGGTAGTGGTAGTAGTAGTAGTGGTAGTGGTAGTGGTAGTGGTAGTGGTAGTAGTAGTAGTAGTAGTAGTAGTCGTCATAGTAGTAGTAGTAGTCGTCATAGTAGTAGTAGTCGTAGTAGTAGTAGTAGTCGTCGTCGTCGTCGTCGGCGTGCTTGCGTTACAAACAGTCGCACCTCCTCTCCCTCCTGTCTTTTCCCCCCCTACCTTTCGTCCCCCCCCTCTCAAGTATCCATGGCGCGCTAAGTGTAGCATGGCCACAATGCTAGATTTCCTCCGCCAGCCCAAGTTCAGCAGACTGACCAGAAAGTTTCTGCCTCCTTGAAAGGTTTGCATCCCACCCTTGAAGCCCATAGCAATGATGAACTGCAGTGTCATTGGGCTTTCGGGTGAAAGCTTGGACTTAGATGTCCCAAAGGAGTGCTTTGGCCGCAGAGAAAAGGTGTCAAATGGTGCAACGGGGCCAACACATCCCATACATGGCTTATGGGCATGGTTGACATGCCATTTTATGGTGTTGAATGATGTCAATTTTGGGGGATTTAGGACCCTGAAGTACTTGGATCAATATTTATTGATATAATTTGATATATAATTATACATATTATACATCATATGCACATATCTATTTATCTACATACATATTATACATATAAATATATATATATATGATATATTGATATGATATGTAGGTTTTTTTTTAAAGTTATCTAAGTCTATTTATCAATGTTTGCATTCATTTTTTGGCATTCTGATGTTTGCCGACCAGAAGATTTATCCGCCTGTGGCGGCCACTGATAGGTCGAAGGTGGGTGACCTGAAGCGCCTCGTTGAGGATCTCTGGGCAGTGCCTCGGATTTGTCGGCATCTTAGATGGGTGCCCTTTGTTGACCTGCGGAGCCTGATGAATTAAGATTGAATCTATTTGAATCTATATACTATATTTACGAAACAATAATAGATTATACATATATATATATATACACATTTTTTCAGAGAGAGAGAGAGAGAGAGAGATTGAATGATATTGACACGTGTGATGTGTGATATGAATTTATATGATGCAAATTGCTATATTCATGTGGATCTTCAGGAATCATTGATAAATATTGATAATATACGGATAGATTTTGCGTTTTCATGGGTTTGGATCCCTGCAGGTTGCAGGGAGCTTAAACAAATAATTGTCCTGCACGTTGAGCTGATTTCTGCACCCAGCTGAGGTCAAAAGTTGCTATGTGCTGGACACATCATGAGCGACGCCTTTCGCTGTGAAGCGTTGCCTGAGAAAGAATTGCAGCCACTGGGTTCCAAGATATTTTACAAAATGAGAACCGTGGTGTTTTGCTTTATGAAGATGAAGTATGCTAGATATTGGCCGTACAATACTGCATGTATCGGTAAATTGCAGTATAGAGAGACTATTCTGTACAAAGGTCATAGCACTGAGCTTACGCTTAGGCTCGTGGTGTCCACGGAGACTCTTCACATCGCTTTGCAGTCTGCCTTGGCTGCAGAGGCTGACGATACTTTGGCTTTGCTGAATGAACCAGATTGAAAACTTGACATTTGTGTTTAAATGACGGCATTTTATATCAATGATTTTAAATTATAGGGGAATTCAATGCTTCTGGATGCTTGGCCACCAATGAGTGAGTTCGATTCTTGCCACCAACCGATTCCACCAATTTCCGATTCGCTCACTTCGTGTCCCGATTCGATCCGATTCGCCAGGTGCTTGATCAGCTGCAGAAGTGTGCGAAGGAATGCCGCGGAGATGACGGAGTCGGGATCTCGGGTAGAACCGGTAGAAGGACGTGGCTTAAGACATGGCTTAAGACATGGCTTGAGGGCGTTTGACAAATGAGTTTCAAATGGGTTTCAAATGTTTTGAATCGATGTTTGGATAAGATCGCCAGGTGTGGCCGGCAGTTGAGGCGGAGGTACTGACCTGCAATGTGTTTCTTCGGTTTCATGCCTTGATCCATTGGCATCCATTGGCACAGGTCTGGGATTGCTTGCAGACATCACCTGTGGTGGATGCTGCTGGGGTAGCCAATTCCGCAGCTGCTGTGCTGGTGGCCGCCGCTTTGGCAGCTTTGACAGCAGATGGGATGATGCAAATAGCGAGGTAACATGCTTTAATCCACCAAAGCATTCTAAAATTGAGCTTACCAGGCTTACCAGTTTGAATCACTAGCTCAAGAGGTTTGGCAAGTGTTCTTATGCACCTAGGGATGTTCATTTAGAAGACATTGGTGTGTCTGGCATGCCAGTGGGGCCGTTCAACTCTCAGCCGAGGCGCGTCGACCCAATACGTTGGAAGAGGTGCGGTGGTTGGGATTTTTGCTCCTGGTGTGCTGGTGACATCTGGTGACCATAAGCACAACCCAGGCCTTTGCGCGGTTGGAAGGTTCCTGCGAACGTGGAAGGCACAGGTTGCATTGTTCATCATTTTTCATTAATGTGTCACTCTTACTTCGAGATGGTTGCATCATCCCACACCTGCAAGCGCTATTGGACAGGCTGGCCTCTGTGAAGATGCTCACAGCCATGGGCCACTCACTTGGATCTATACCGGGATATACCATGGTATACCATGATATATTATATATATGATATACATATATATGATATATATATATATATACATACAGTAGATATATTATGGCCATATGTATATACCATAATCATCCATCATCCATTTGTGATCTGCGCAGTTCCTGACACCGGACGCCGAGGCGATACCAAGCACATGATGTATCTTCGAGGTCGGTTGGAAGACCTGTGCCCTTCGGTGAGAGCGGAAGCGGTCAAAGGAATCGCCTCTTTGGCACCGTTGGACCAGGGCCTTCTGTCCCTTGACGCTGCACTGTGGCTATCTGTGGCTCTTCCATCAGTCTCAAGGGGACTCAGATCATCCGTTCCTAATCTTAACACACCCACCAGAAACCATGGTTTAGTAGAGGAATGTAGGGGATCTACACCTTTTTTGGAGCCATTAACATCCATTAACTATAGGCCATTGGGTACCGAGGTTTGCCATCAGTGGCCACCTCCATGACAGCAACGTCCTGGTGCGACAGGCCGCAGTGGAAGCCATTGGCCAATTCGTCTCCGCCAGTGGCTGTAGCGAGTGCTCCAAGGACAGCCAGTGACCCAGAATTCTGCCATGCTTGGAGCGCAACATGTGTGGCTTTAGCATGTTTTAACATGCTTAAACATCAGAAAGTCATAAATCCCAACAATTATGCACCTGACCTGAGTGAAGAATTTCCGACCACTTACTGAACTGAAGTGGGAACACAAGGTGAATGTGAGAACTTCCCTGAGAATCTGGAGTTTGCTGGCATGGCAGTCCTGGCAAGGCTGCAACACCCTCAAGTGCCACATGGTTTGCAAGCGCTTGTCGTGCGTCGTTTCGCGCCACCAACCTCACACTTGCTGGTGATTTAGTAGAACTTGAACTAAAACAGGACAAATCAAACATCTTTGAAATTTGATGGGAGCATGATGGGACCATGTGACAATCACACCAATCGTACGCTTCAACAGTATTCCCCCAAAGTTGACATGTTTCAATCACGGGCGACTCCCAGGTCTGTAGATGACTCACCTTATTGACACATTAGAATCAACGTGCTCGTTCAGTGTTGATGGTTATGATATCACATGATGGGGTGGAGCCAACTCGGTACGTGATGCGGGAAGTTTGGTTAAATATGTATAATAAATTTACATCAATAACAGTAACATAGAGTAACAAGTCCCAGGCACTTCGATGATTTAGCTCGTTTTGGCTTCAAATTTGATGTTCTTTTCACGATGGCCGCCCCGTCGTGGACTATTTACAGTCAGCCACAACCACCATATCAACCACCATATCAACCGCTATCGCCATATGAACGATCCTCCATGGATATGTATATATATATATAGACATACATACATAATCATACATAGTTACATACATAATCATACATACATAATCATACATACATAATCATACATACATAATCATACATACATACATACATACATACATACATACATACATACATACATACATACATACATACATACATACATACATACCCTACCCTACCCTACCCTACCCTACCCTACATTACATTGCATTGCATTGCATTGCATTACATTACATTACATTACATAAATACATACATACATACATACATACATACATACATACATACCCTACCCTACCCTACATTACATTACATTGCATTACATTACATTACATTACATTACATAAATACATACATACATGCATACATGCATACATGCATACATGCATACATGCATACATGCATACATGCATACATACATACATACATACATACATGTATACATGTAGATACAAGTAATCACACACAGACAAAAACACACAAACGCACACATACATATATATATATATATTATATTATTTATGTATATACACACAAATCTCATATCTGATTGTACATGTATATGGTATATTTTTGTGCCATTCGCATCCAGCTATGTTTCTCCCCCTTCCCCCAGGTCGGTGCGAAGCTTCGTAGCTGCGGCGGTGGCCCGCGCCGTGGCCGGGGCCGCTGGAGAACTCTGCCAGCGATGCGGGGCGCGGCGCTGCAGCGCACAGGTGACAGGGGATATGGTAGCGTTGGATTGTGACACATTGTGCGAAATAACATGACACATGACATATTATCATTAGATATCATTAGTATTACATTATGATTATGATTACATTATTATTATTAACGATTGCTATTAAACCATCATTATTGTTCTATTTATAGGATCTTTTTGCGTTGTCCTGAGCATTGTCCTGTGTTATTCACCAATGAAATCCAAGCAGATTGGGCCCATTGGGCCATGGCATGGGTTGCAGGAAAAGACCTGGGCTCCACAAGCTGCGCAGCTGCTGGGAGCATGTTTCTTTGATGCGGCAGCTCCAGTGCGCCCGTGCAACGCAACACTTCTGATGAACATGGGGTTAAAAATGGGTTATATAAACGATGAAACGGTAGAAATATGGTGAAATATGCTTGAACATCTTGAAATTTGTAATTTGTTTCTTTCCTGGTCCCTACTGTAGTCGCTATTTGTCGCTCATGTTGTTCTATGTTCGTTATATTGTTCTGATACCCTATGGATTGGATTTTGTTGAAGGTCCAAGGGGTGGCCTTGCAAGCCATCGCAGAGCTCCCGGGCGAAAAATTGACATCGCCAGAACTGCTGGCATTGAAGGCGCAGGCACAGCCAACTGGCCAACTGGCAGCTCAGAAGAAAGTTGCCTGAAATTCTGAAAGCTGACTGTGAGAGGCAGAGTTCCAATAGGATTTTAGAATATTTTAGAGCATTTGCCGATGTGACAGCATGTGACAGCTATGGCCCTGGAGGTTTTTGCGTGCCTATCCCATTCCGACGCTGGCGTGCGCATCACCGCATCACGAGCCATCACGAAGTTAGTGCCGACACTTGGCAAAAATTCATCTGAAACTGGGACAGCCAGGGGTGCTGGTAGCATTTGGTAGCGTTACATCCAACGGTCGGGTTGATTGAGTAATTGGGAAAACTAAAGACTTGTGATTGTGATCTTGTGTATATGTGGCCATGAGATGTCATGAGATTTTGAGGATAGCGTTTCTCATCAGTACTCAGTTGAGAAGATGACACAATGCTTGTAGCCTAGGTTTGGTGACCACGAGGTGGCCGCAGCTTTGCGAAGCTTAGCAAAGCGCGATACCGACATCAGCTCTTTGGATGCGATTAAAAGTGCTCCAAGTGACAGAGAAATGTTTTGTTGCATTCTTCTGCAATACGACAGGAACATGCTGGATCTAGGCCTAAATAATATATAAAAGTAGTTATAATATATATATATATTATTGTTGTTATTATTATTGTTATTATTATTGTTATATTGTATATTATATTATTATTATATTATTATTGTCATTATATGTTATTATCATTATTGTTATAACAATGATAATGATAATATATAGTCATAATACTAATGATAATAATAATGATAATACTAATATTTGTTTATTATTCTTATTATATTTTATATTTTATATATTATTATTATTGTTGTTATTACTATTATTAATATTTATTATTATATATTATTGTAAATTACTATATATTATTATTTATTATATTGTATATTATTATTATTATCATCTTTATTATTATATATTATTATTATCATTTTTATTATTATATATTATTATCATTATTATTACTATATATTATATATTATTCTGATTATTATATATTATTATTATATATATTATTTTAATTATTATTATTATTATATTCTATTATTATTATTATTTGTTTATGATTTTAGTTATTATTATTATATTCTATTTTTATTATTAGTATATTTGTTATTTTATATTTTATATATTATTCTTATTTTTATTTTTATTATATATAATCATTAATATTTATAATAATGATAATAATAATAATAGTGGGGGACTGAATCACATGAAAAAAACGTCTGACAGATGAGACTTTTGAAGGTTTGCTCATATTATGTAGACTAATGTTCTAGTTGGCCCTCAGCACAGTGTGGTACCTTGAGCTCTGGCAAAGGCGTGAGGACTGCAGCCAAAAATGCGCTGCCATTTATGGGCGAGGATCCCTTTTGATGCAGAAAAGGGGCAGACTGCTGACTGCTTCACAGTGTGGGCATGTTTGAGTTTGACCCAGCAACTACAAGTGCAGCTCGATTCTACAAGTCGATCAAGTCAATGTGACCCAGCGGATCCCGGTAAAATGCTAAGGTCGTCGAAGAAGCGTAAACGAGCAAAGGAGGTCCCTAGCTGACATATCGACTCTGCAGAAGATGACTATTTTTTTTCTGTTATTTTCTGTTTATATTTAACAGCCTTCGGCATTCCGCCGGCCCTCTGGCCTTTGGCCTACAGGCCCAAAGCAGGGGTTGTGTAAAGCTGGTTGGTGTAAAATTTTGGTTTGATGATGATCATCAGGATGATACTGATGATGAGGCGGAGGAGGATGATGACGATGACCATCGAGACGAGGATTGATGATGTAAGTAAGGTGAGTGCTAGTTCGCTTGAGGAAAGAGACGAGACGAGACTGGACGACACGACACTAACCAGACGAAACTAGATTAGACTACACTAGACCATTCGGCTATACTAGACAATAGTCTATTGGGGGGGTAGGGCAGCCGAAGCAAAAATCCGTTGAAGAGATAATTTCAGGTATAGCTATAGCAATAGCTACAACTGCATCTCAACTTAAGCCATCCTAATCCTATATAGCTATAGGTACAAGTAGGTCTCAACCCAAAGCTATGACAATCTATAGCTAGAGCTAGAACTAGATTTCAACCTAAAGCTAGAACAAAATCAAGCCATTGCTGGAGGTAGGGCTAGGCTAAATAAAATCTAAAGCTAGAATAAGAGCAAGGTACTGCCGTAGCTAGGACATCTAGGACTAGAACTCGAATTAAAGCTAGAACAAGATCAAACTATAACTCTAGTTGGAACTAGAATTCAATCTCAAACCAGGACAAGTTAAAGCTACTGTAGGAAGCTATTTCTAGAAGAAGCTTAAGAAGAAGTTAAATCATGTTAAATTATAAGTTATAACGCAAGCTAAGCCAGGAGATACTGTAGAACTGGGACTCAACTGAAAGGCTATACCCAGCCGGAGCAACGCACGCAAAGCAAAAATCCGCGCAGAAAAATCTATAGGAGAAGCTAAAGCTATCACAAGATATTACAAGATGTATCATAAGAACATCCACAAAGCACGACGGCACGACGGCAGGCCGGCGGATTATTTTTCTAATTCTTCTCGCCATGCTTTGTCGACTCCGAAGGCCGAGCTGGATGAGGAAAAGCCGAGAAAATCCAATTGGTTAGCTCAGCAACGCGTGGGCCTCAGCTGTTCGCGGTTGATTTTGAAGGAAGACAGTGAAAACACTGGCATCACCCAAAATGCATGTCATATCGCGATGCCTTCAGGAAAGCAAACTAAGCTTCCAAAGCTTGAAACTAGCAAGAATGGCACGGCTCTTATTCAACTTTTATTTGCGTCCCAATTGAGCAACTTTAGGCTGCAGCTGTGTGCCTGTGGCTTTTTGCAAACATGTTGAGTGGCAATGTTGCCTAAGTGTGGTCAAGTACGCACTTTTGCAACCAAAATGTAGTTGTGATACAGGCACCTATGAACGTATAGACCTTGATGAACGATGATCAAATTCTCCGATGTCGCTGGCATGCAAAGACAATTGACAGGTGATATGAAGACAGAGGCTCCAGATGCAGAGAAGCCTTTGGGCAGGACTGCCATCAGAGTTGAGGTTGCAAAAATAGAACATCCATTAAAATCCATCAAAATCCATCAGATTTGTTGCTTCCGCCTTGGAAGGAAGAAGGCCAAGCGCATAGAAAAACTCCAAGCTCAGAAGGCCTGCTTTCTGCGGTGCCATCATAGCAGACCTGAGAGCTGTTTTCTGGCCAATGTCGAGAGCATGCTTTCGCCAAATTGGGTCCAGCTCATCTTCCATTGGTGGATCCAAGTCCATTCTCAAAATCTCTCGGCTATTTATGTTTTCATATTGTTTCCCTATATTGTTGTCGACTCAATTCCTTCTAAAGGCATCATTTACTAATTGAAGCTCTGTACTGATTGCAATTAGTCCTGACACATCCTGACTCTGACATGCAAATATGTTTTATTTAGTAATTAAATCTCTGAAAGGTATGCACTTATATGATACTTATATGTAATTAATAACATTAATCAACTACTGTTTTTCCATGTTTTTCCATGTTTTTCCTGGATCTAATATGAAGATGTCTCCAGGTGACTTGTTCTGCTCCCACGCCACAGGCCCGTGAGGCGAACAAAGCGGCGGATGCGGCCAAGAAGGCCTTCGATGAAGCCGCTGCGGCGGTGAAGGGCAAAGCCAAGGCCAAAGAGGGTGAACTCTCCAAGGCGTGGCGAATGTGGCCATGGAATGCCATGGATTCCATAGGCATCCTGGTGGGACATGGCAAAGTGACGTTGCTGCAGTGCTGCATGGGCAGAAACAAATAGAAACAATATATTGTCATATATTGTCACATGCTAATTTCTTTGGCTCAGAACATTGACAGGCTGCAACCGATCTCATTGAAAAGATGCGGAAGGGAGGTGCCATTCAAGCTGTCCTATGCTCTCCTCCCGCACATACAAAGCGTTTGAAGCAGGTGCTGGGGACCAACGATTGTCGTCGCCTTGGTTTTGTTGAGTGTTGCAGACAAAGTATTATATAAGATGTGACATGCGGCTGGACTCAGCATGATGCAGGGATATCTCTCCTGAGATCATTTGAGGCTTGCAGCAGCTGCTGAGCGAATTGCAGCGGAACCCGAGAAGGACATGATGCAACTCCGCTGGTTCTTGTCGTGCCGTCCGTTTTTCCCTCCATCCATCCATTTATCAAATCGAACTAATGCCACATGTTTAAACCAAGCACGGGCTCGAGCTGCTGGGTGTGGCAATCAATGCTCTTGAAACTAAGTTGGATCCAAAAAGCCCACTTGTTTAAAAATTGGTTTTCTCGTTTTTATGGTTTTACAATATGTTCCAGTCATCGAATCCGCTGTGCACATATATGTATATATATTATATATATATATATATTAATTATATCATATTATATTTATTATACTATATTATATTATTATATTATATTATATTATACTATATTATATTATATTATATTTATTTGTTTATTTATTTATCCATGTTTGCAGGGCAGTTTATCACTCTCAGACGTATGGATTGGCATGATTGGCCCACAGGAGCTGGACCTCTTTGACATCTTCTTTCATTTGCATCGCTTGCCTCTCAGGAAGTCTGCAATGAAATTGAGGATGACTGAGGTGAGGTCATCTCAGACGCGAAGCATTCTGACCAGATCTGACCAGTCTTGTTGCAAAGATGCCGTTAACTTTTTCAAAAAAAGAGGGTGTGGTGTGTTGTTCCCCGGACACTTGATCCAGCGCAAGGCGTTGGCGACCAAGAGATCAAGTACATGGCCCTGCTTTCTGCTATCGCAGTCTTCAAAGATTTAGTTCCAGGCTCTGGAATCAGCCTTGGTTGAGCCCAAAATTGGGTACAAGCCCAATGTGCCTGCAAAAACTCGCATCGTGTTTTGCATTATGATGCTCATTCACAAAATCACACATAATCACACACAAGATCACACAATATATCGTTATAATATCAATAACGTCGCAATACTTGCTAACTTTCAGGTTTGCAACCTTGGTTGAACGAGTGTGAGATCTTCTTCGTGCATTGTGAATTTGATAAATGGTCATGCGCCACAATGTCCTCAGCCATTTTGGCTGGAGGCTTGGCTGGGTTCACCGCAGTCTGGGGTTCAGTGCACCCTGCGGGTTCCACTGTTTCGACTGTGATGCTGCAGCAATGACTGCCGAGACCAAAGGGTCCGCAGTGTCACGCAGAGACCTCTTAGTTCAGCAGCTCTTAGAGGAGCGTCGTCAACGGCTGCAGCAGAAGTTGGCTGCAGGGCCTGTTCAAGAGGAAAGGGAAAGAGAGGAAACAGCGCTGGAGCATCTGGAGCCGCTAGAATGCAGCTTCAACAGCTTCAACAGCCAAGAGAATTTGAGCCCCAAGCGCAATGTCAGGACTTTTGCTGAAAAGGACTTTCGGCCTATGGAACCCAGAGATGATGGTTTCCTGACCTCGGTCCTGGCGCGTTTGAAGGCTGCTGAGGCTGAACTTCAGCCTCCACCCGTGCCGGAGCCTGTTGCCACTGCCACTGTGCCAAAGGCAGCTCGCCCTCGATCCGCACCCACCAGGGCAGCCAAGGCTAGGGCAGCCAGAGGCGAGACCGAGAAGATCGGCACCAAGGTGTCCAAGCCTTCCAACGCCACCCCAACCAAGGCCCAGCCCAGGGAACCACAGAGCGCAAAGAGTGAGAAGCACAGTGCTTCCAGAAGGAACAGCTCTGTGGAGGGATCTTTCCAGCAACGTTTGCAAAAATGGCAACTGCAGCATCAAGCCTCCAAAGAGAAGCAAATGCAGGCAAAACAGGAAAAAGAGATGGAAGAACTGGGGGAATGCACCTTTCAGCCTTCAATCAACAGCCGCTCCGATTTTTATGCTCGCCGCTCGCGGGGTTGCTTTGCAGAAGCACTGCCCGAGCGGTTGTACCATGAAGCGGACAAGAGGACTAACCTCCGCAACAAGGCGAAAGAGATCATGGAGGCAGATGCTCTTTGCTCCTACACATTTCAGCCCAAAATCAATGAAAACAGCAAAGGCAGCATTGGTCAACGTGCTCCATTGCACCTTCGCATAGAGACTTTGAACAAAAAACGTGAAGATCGAGTTCGCTCTGCCCAATTGGCTCAGGAGAAAAGCGCCGAGCACTTTTTTCAACCAAAAATTTCCAACCGCAGCGAGCGGCTTGTCCAACGGAAGCGTGACATGCTGTACAGGTCAGCTTCCCATGGGCAGGTGGAGTGTTTAAAGCAGCTGGGCCCAGTGGAGGAACGGCTCTATGCCGAAGCTCAGGAGAAAGAGCAGCGCCGTGCTGCACTCCAAGAGTTTCACAACGAGGAATTGCAGTCTTTCCCGAGTGTAGATGATACCTCAAGGAGAATTTGCAAAGCCTCTGTTTACTTCCAAGGGCCTCAGCAAGACTTCCTCACTCGACAGGAAACCTTTGAGCTGGCCAAACAGAAGCGAATGGATGTGCGTGCTCAGCACTTGGAAACTGAATGCTCCTTTCAGCCCAAGATCACCGAGACCAGCCGTCAGTTGGTTTCTGGACGCTTTTTGGTAAGTTGTTCTATTGTTGTTTCATGTTTCCTTTGAAAGCCCGTGGAGTTCGCAAGAATTATTGAGCCCGAAGCAGACGTTTGTATAAAGTGAGATGAGCCACTCTCCCCGGTGTGATGCCCATGAAGCGACTGTCCAGGTAAATCCCATGTGTTGATCAGTTCAGTATAGATAGTATATGATAGAATAGTAGGATACAGGATGGATACAGGATACACCCTTTGTGTGCCCTTATAGAATCCAACTAGGGGCGGACATTGTATTTCATAATAAGATCTCATAAGGTATACATATAATTGGGACATCACGAGACATGCAAAGCGCCATTTCCTATTTATTATAATCATATAGACAGGGAGATGTCTAATATATACCGATACCCTTTTATTATCCTTTATTCTTGTTGCTCATCAGTATAGCCCATGTGATAACATCATGGCAGCCATGGGGGCCCCAGCCATGGGGACCCCAGGTCTGTAACAACGTGGAGCTGCTGGGCGAAACCTTGGACGAACGCATCCACCGCCTGGCGGTGCGCGATGCCGAGCGGCGGGAACAGCTGAGACAGGACTTGGAAGAACTGCATCACAAGGACCGGGCCGGTGCCGTTGATGCCATGGCGATGCCAAACAAAAATGGGCGGTTGGAAAGGTGTCCTCCAAAAAATGATGGATTTGAGTTTTTTCTTTTCAAGTTGTTGGGGTTAAAGAATGTCAAAGATCTAGGCAATTATGGTAGGTCTGGCCTATGATTTGTTTTGGGACAGCGATCCCTTCCCAAATCATCCCAAATCTGGTTTTGATCCATGGTTTGGGCACTGGGAATTGCAAAACCATTGAGACATAATTCCCTGCCTTCCCTGCAATGGTATAAAAATTGCATAAGGACCACCCCAAAAGAATTTCGTGGAATGCAGAATTCTTGGGATTTCATTGAGGATGGTTAGTAATGGGGATGGGATTCAGGTGAGTTGCATGCTGGGAACGATGTGAAGGTGGGGTCAGGGAATGGGTTTGGACCCTGCAAGGACTACACCTTCAAGCCGGAAATCAACCCTGTCTCTCAGGTGCTGGCTGCACGCTTGGACAGCTCCAATGGCGACGCACATGAACGGCTCTACCGGTCCGGTCTGTCCAAGAGTCAGAGAGACGATTCCGTCAGATCTGATTGCAGTTTCAGGCCCCAACTGGATCCTCGCAGCTCCAAACGCTTTGCACATGTAAAGTCGCGTTATGCGAAGAGGCCAGATTTGATGGAAAACATCCGTCAGGAGCAGGAGAAGAAGGCTGAATATTTACTCGAAAGACGGCGTGAGCTGGAGGAAGAGCGAAATGCAGATTGCACCTTTACACCTTCGGTCACTGAAGGCTTCCAAGATATCCAAAGACCTGTAGCAGTCAGTGGTCTTGATCGGTTCTTTGAGCTTAAGACCTTGGCATTGAAGAAGCAGCAGGAGCAGATGGAGAGGGAGCAGAAGGTTTTCCGACCCGAAAGTGTAGCGCATCAAGGCCTCAGTGTCACAGTTCCGGAGCCCTTCCAACTCGGGAAGTTCGCAGATGACCTGAGACAGTGAGGTGATGCTGGAGGTTTTCGTGATTTCATGGACCCTTGCAGGGATGTGTTCGACCCACAAAAGTGGACCTTTTAGGATATGATGTGAATTCGTTGGCTGAAGGCTTTCCTTCAACCCTTGCAACTCAACAGAGCAAAGGGTAGTTAGAAAAATGTTGAAAAGGCAGACAGGCCCTTTGGTCAATGCAGAAGCGCCAGCTGTAGTTTCCAGTGCCGCACTCGCGGTGTTGAGAAGTCAAGCTTAGCAGCTAAGTCAAGCTAGGTAATTCCGCTGACCATAGATGTATCGATACTGCTTAAAACATCTTAAAACATGGCACCTCAGAGGGCACATTGGCACAATTTGGCACACTTGTGAGGCTACCGTATCAGGGAGCCCACTGAGCAGGAGAAGGCACAGGCTCGGTCCAAGTGTGAGGCCCCAGCCATTGCTGTGACTAATTCTGACTAATGTTTGCACCTGATTAAAGAGATGGTACCCTATTGTGAGAAATTTCTTGCTCCTAATTCAGTCACATGCAAATTGTTGGGGGGGGCCTCTATTGTGAGATTTTTTTTCCAGATTTGTTTTTTCAATTTTTATTTTTTTCCAAATGCTTTAACTTTAAAAAAAACATATTTGTTCTAATTATTTATGTTTAATTATTTTTAGTTTTATTTTAGATGCCTTATTAAACCCTTATTAAAAAACAGCACCCAGACAATTTTTCAAGGGGGTACCTCATGAGTGGCTCAGTTACTCAATAATATAATTGTTTGGATGGTACCCTATTGTGAGCACCAACTTTTAGGAGTGAAAAAAAAACAAAACCCTTTCTCCACCTTTCTTTGAGTAAAGCTGGCCCCTTTACTGTAGAAAGCCATAGTTGTGTTAAAGCTTTAAAATGCAAGGTTTTCCAAATAATCAGATGCCTTATTAAACCCTTATTAAAAAACAGCACCCAGACAATTTTTCAAGGGGGTACCTCATGAGTGGCTCAGTTACTCAATAATATAATTGTTTGGATGGTACCCTATTGTGAGCACCAACTTTTAGGAGTGAAAAAAAACAAAACCCTTTCTCCACCTTTCTTTGAGTAAAGCTGGCCCCTTTACTGTAGAAAGCCATATTTGTGTTAAAGCTTTAAGATTCAAGGTTTCCCAAATAATTAGATGCCTTATTAAACCCTTATTAAAAAACAGCACCCAGACAATTTTTCAAGGGGGTACCTCATGAGTGGCTCAGTTACTCAATAATATAATTGTTTGGATGGTACTCTATTGTGAGCACCAACTTTTAGGAGTGGAAAAAAAAAAACCTTTCTCCACCTTTCTTTGGGTAAAACTGGTCCCTTTACTGTAGAAAGCCATAGTTGTCTTAAAGCTTTAAAATGCAAGGTTTTCCAAATAAACCGATGCCTTATTAAACCCTTATTAAAAAACAGCATCCAGACAATTTTTCAAGGGGGTACCTCATGATTGGCTCAGTTACTCAATAATTTATTTGTTTGGATGGTACTCTATTGTGAGCACCAACTTTTGGGAGTGAAAAAAAAAAAACAAAACCCTTTCTCCACCTTTCTTTGGGTAAAGCTGGTCCTTTCACTTTAGAACGCCATATTTGTGTTAAAGCTTTAAGATTCAAGGTTTCCCAAATAATTAGATGCCTTATTAAACCCTTATTAAAAAACAGCACCCAGACAATTTTTCAAGGGGATACCTCATGATTGGCTCAGTTACTCAATAATATAATTGTTTGGATTTGGATGGTACTCTATTGTGAGCACCAACTTTTGGGAGTGAAAAAAAAAGCAAAACCCTTTCTCCACCTTTGTTTGGGTAAAGCTGGCCCTTTCACTTTAGAAAGCCATAGTTGTGTTAAAACTTTAAAATGCAAGGTTTTCCAAATAATTAGATACCTGAAAAAAACCATAATTGGCTCAGTTACTCAATAATATAATTGTGTGGATGGTACTCTATTGTG